ACGGATGGAAATGTTTGAACCAAACATTTATCGCCGTTTTTGACGTGCTTTGCGATGGGCCTATCGCATGTCCTGTTATCCCGATGACGATAATTTTTCGATATATTGTGCAGCCCTAGTTGAAATGTTTTGATGTTTTGATGTTCAGATGTTTTATTGGATTTGATGGGTTGATGTTGTTGGTTGTCTTTGAAAAATTATTTAAGTTCATTATTGTATTTAGTCATAATTTCTGAACGGAGTGCACAAGTCACTAATAGTTTGTGGTCCAATTTACTAAGAAATAAATATGAATTGCGTTTGTGGGTGGCATGTCTGATGCCTCACACGTGAAGGTCCCCCTTTGACTCCTCAAACTGACCTGTGATATTTTGTAAAGTACAGAAATGTTAATGTTCTCACTTTAGACTTTTTAATGCAAACAGGAAGTAGTTTGAGTAAAAAATGAGAAATCAAGTACAAACGGAACAATTACTACTGGCTTTCTCCTGTTTTCATTTTCTCACCCAGAACTTTATCTCAGAGGTTTTAGAGGGTTATATTTATAGATGGTTAATTGCATTGAATGAATCAATAATCAGATCACACACCTGAAGTTCAAAAGCTCAAGCCAAGTCAGACATATCAGTGAGAAAGTGTCACACTAAGTGCGTTTTAACTTCCCTTCCCTGCTGCTTGATGGATGAATCCAGCTCTCGTGGGAGTAAAGACCCAATCACAACTCCTGCCCTATCCCAATTGATCTCCTCTGTCCCCCAGCAGCTGCATGCAAAGCAGCCAGTAGAGCCACCTGATTAAAAAGCCGTCATATATTTGATCACACATGTAACCGCATTCCTAATGAGCACTGTGACTGATGCGGAGTTGCGCGCTAGCCCTCACATCCACCTCTGGCGACGTACCTAAAGTGAATATTTTTGATGTCTGCGGGATGTTCTCAGGCCTTTAAAAGACTTTGATGAATGCATTGGAGCATTAATGGTGTTCATCAATCATAGAAGATGTACGCTCTTATGGCAACAAGGTTCTCATCAGAACTGGAGATGAGTGGAGATATTCTACATTGCTGAGCAGACCGTCTAAACATGTAGTCAGTAATTATTCTGACAATGCACATGCAACAAACTGGTTCTAGTTGGGTGAAAGGCTGACCTCGATAGGAGGATTTATTACCTCTCCCACAAAATGGCTCAATGAAGAAAGAAAATAAGGGTTCACCTGGTATGCAACTCACAATTAGGCAACATTTCAAGCTATAGAATCAAGATTTATGTATTTCATTGTAGTTTTGAGTTATATAAAGATTTGCAGCTGCATAACGTGGATGGTGTAAAGGATTTATTTATTTGTTGGTATTTCAGGCTTAAGTCAATCAGTTTAATGGTTGAAATTTGCAAAATGACTTAAAGTAGCTTTCTGGAGTTTTCCCCTTTCACAAAATATGTATGATTTTTCAGAAATCCGTAAGTTATTGTCTCATCATGTAGTGTGATATAATGTAAGCAATATGTCTTTTTTTTTTGCTAAACACGCCCCCTGCCCCACAGAGCTCTGTGCAATAGGAAACGTGTTTTAGCTATTTTTGTCGGCTACAGAAGCACATTTATAAACAAAAAACGTTCCTAACTATCTTAAAAATGCGGATCCAGAGACTACTTGTGTGATATGCTTGTCAGCCATGAGATGGTGCCATCAGATAAGAGAAATACTCCGGAAAGAGACTAATTAGCCAAAGCTGCAATGACTAGTCTACAAAACATTCATCCATACATTTTCATCCGCTTATATGAGGTCAGGTCGCACGGGCAGCAGCCAAAGCAGGGAGGCCCAGACTTCCCTCTCCCCAGACACTTGGGCCAGCTCTTCCGGGGGAATCCTACGGAGTTCCCTGGCCAGCTATGAGACATGGTCCCTCCAGCATGTCCTGGGTCTTCCTTTTGGTCTCCTCCTGACTGGAGGGTCCTGGAAAACCTCACCAGGGAGGCGTCCAGGAGGCATCCTAACTAGATGCCAGAGCCATCTCAACTGGCTCCTCTCAATGTGGAGGAGCAGCGAATCTACTCTGAGCCCCTCCTGGATGATTGAGCTTCTCATCCTATCTCTAAGGGAGACCCATGCCACCCTGCGGAGAAAACTCATTTTGGCCGCTTGTACCCACAATCTCATTCTTTTGGTCACTACCCAAAGCTTGTGACCATAGATGAGGGTTGAAACGTAGATCGACTGAAAAATCGCAATGGATGTCCGAAATGTGTTATTGGCAGAAAATGGGAGACAATCCCTTTATTATTATTATTTTTATCTCCACAATATATTTATAGCTATACAATGTTAGGGGGCAGCAGTAGCTCAGTTGCTAGAGCGGGCTGCCTCATGATCGGGGAAGGTCATGGGTTCGATTCCAGCTCCCCCCAGAGGTATTCTGCTGTTGTGTCCTTGGGCAAGACACTTCACCCAACTTGCCTGTGTTCACGCAAGCGTCCTTGAGTGTCCTAATAAAGCGCTATATAAGTTAGATGATTATTATTATTATTATTATAATGTTAGAATGTTGTTAAGAGCCACATGAAGACTCACTTTTGTGTTCCCTCAGCACGTGAGTTAGCCATATTTTTAGATAATTTAGTTATTTTGCTTTTATCTCCCACTTTTATTTGTCTTTATGTATATTTAGTTGGTCATGGCATGGGTCAGTGATGTTTAAAATTAGTTTGTGTGCTCAGCACTTTGGTTTGCCTCCTGGCTGATGGAAAGCACCCAGATAACTTGAATAAATGAAGTTGATGTTGATGAAGAGGCATGAAAAAAAAATTGAAACTAATTTGTTTTTCATATTTGCCATTTTAGCTCTAAAGGGGCATTATGGAAGTTTGACAGCCAAAACATGTATAGAAATAATACATTTCTTCTTCATACATTCTCCTGCAATGCCCTGGTCCTGTAGAATGAGCCCTGGCATTTTTACTGTGATTGCCTGTTTTTCTGTAAAATCACAGAAAAAGGGAGCTGCTCGGGTCGAGCAGGCTGCTTCATGCGCGTTCACGCTCAGGCATCGCCCCCCAAACCGTTCTTAAATGGTACAGCTAGAAGTGATGTCACTGGCGCATTAGCTTGCCTGGTAAGATGTTGGACTTTCATGCAGATGACCCCGGTTTGATTCCAGATGTGAACATAGTTTATTTAGAGTTTCTTTTTTACATTAATGGTATATTTTTTACAGTAAGATGCCCAAATTTTTATTTGAGATTCGCCGAACGGCATTGAATTCACAGATTAAAAAGATGTGGGTTCAACTTTCATTTTGGAACAATTTTTCAAGAGCATGCAGGAGAACTGACCCATCTTAAACCTTTGTCGGCTGCGCTGAAGAGAAAGTTATAGAACCAAATTATTTAATTAATTAGCTGCGTCTTCTCCTGTCCTCCGGGCCCCACACACACACACACACACACACACACACACACACACACACACACACACACACACACACACACACACGGAGCTGACTGTCTCAGCTGTTATTTTCGTTAAGGAGTGTGCACGTACAGCATGCGCGCCTCGTGCACGAGCCTACTATTGAAGCTGCCATCACACTTTGGGCCTGAGGGGGCAATCGCGAGCATAAGAATTCAAAACTCCGTAAAGTCCCTTTAACTTTTCATATGGGGAAATGGTAAGAGGAACAAATACATTTGTGCATCTTGCATTATCCGTTGTGCAAAGTATGAACAATTTTTACCATTTTTACTATTTATGAAGTCCATGAACTTTTGTGAAAGCAGGACAACAAATGTCTGCACCATAAAATAGCAAAAACCACTTTTCTTGAGTATTTGACAGCCGTCCAGATTTCTTGTGCTGCGTTTGGCCATTGTGAGCATTTGGCTTTGAAGACGCCACTGCGCTAAGTCATCTGGGCTTTGTCTTGAAGACAGCTGCGATCTAACGTGAGTGACACGCAGCGTATTCAGAGCAGCATTATCTCCAGGTGAATCCTGAGATGTTCTTTGATGTGAGGCAGCCCCCATTCTTTTCTCTGATCACAGTCATCTCAAGACAGATTAGTCGGCATCCATCACAGGAAGCGTACAGTGGAAGCCTATGAGCAACAGCAGGGAAGGCAGAGCTGCAGACTAAGCTTCTTTACCGCTAAACGGTGTGATGTGGAATTATTGGTTATATTAGGAGCAAACAAAAGCAGAGCTGTGACTATAGTCTTATCGTGTTGGAGGCACTGAAATAGAGCTTGCTGCAAACACAGCTAAGGACACAACTCCACCATCACCATGAAGTCAATGAGGTGCAGCAAACCCCTAAAACATGCTTCAAAATGAGAGAAAGTGCAGGAAGTCTGAACAAATAATGGGGTGGGGGTGGGGGGTGGGGGTGGGGTTAAAACAAAAAAATGATCACATGCACATAAGAGTAGCTCATGGTGCAGGTCTCGTGGCAAAATAACTTGAGCAAGGTTATATACTGTACAAAATCTGAAATCTCAGGAATAACCTATTTAAGTTTTAGACACAAAGGAGGCATAAACACACTAGGATAGACGTCTGCAGGGATGAAACCACTGGAGGCAACAGACAAATTCACACTCAGTAAAAAAGCATTAGCTGTTTCATTGATTTTTTTTGCAAAGATGAGTTTGGCAGTCCTACAGTCATTAAAGCAGTTAAGTTCATCGTTTGATGAACAAATTTCTTAAATGTGCAGCAGAAATGGTGTCTGCAGTAGCATTCCAGTGGCAGTTTTAGCTGTGGGGGCGTAGCTGCGCCTGTCTGCTTTTGTCAGAAGTCGTGCCAATGTGACATACAGTATGATGTGCTCGCGATGTGGAGATGCATTGGAGTGGCGTGTTCCATTCCTCCAGCAGAGATTACAGCCGGGCCTCTGCAATAGCTCTGGGCAGGAGGTGGATGACATGGCTGTTTGCATGCATGGGGAGCAGTATGTGGGTGAGAAGCATGGCACTAACATTACACAAAGTGGTTACTTACAGGTAGTAAGTGTAGGAGTGATAGGTTCTTCTGCCGAGAGGGGTGGTGGTAGGATATAAGCAGTGGAGGAGGGGAGGGGATGGAATGAAAAGGAAAGAAAAAGTAAAAATATATTAATGTTTGAAAAAAGAGAAGAAATGAACAAAATCAGATATGGTGGCACACGTGGAGGTAAAAACTAGTGATCGTGAGGGCAAAAGGTGATCGCTTGGAGTCGTGTCATGCTCTGGTAAAGGGGAGTCTAATAAAAGTACAGATCTATCCAAGCTGCTTCCCTTCCTTTAACAACACATCGTTTTATACACGTTTAGAGAAATTACCATATCTGACCTCGGAGGCTGGAACTTAATGAGCGGTTCGAATGTCTAAACACAACCCCGATTCCCCCGACGATGACGGCAAATTAGACCAAATTCAGCCAATGAAGTCGTCTCCAGCTCTGGTTTGATTAAAGCTAATTGAAAACAATTCCATTACTTGGTGCTGATTTTCACACCCACCCACTGACGGCTGCGCTAAACAAACAGGCCATGCCATGAGGAAGAAATCTTATATTACCAACAAGAATAAACATGGAACACAATGATTAAATTACCACCAACGGACACAACTTAGCCTTCTCAATCGCCTGCGTTTCCCCGATCTGCTGTAGTGACGTTTATACTTGACCAACAGAGTTAAAGAACACGTGCAAGGACCTTATCAAAATATTACAGAACTTGTATCCACCAAGGACATTTCCACAGGAACTGTGTTATTTTAAAAAATGGGGATTGATATTTGCCGAGCACGAGCTCCCCTGATTACTGGGAAATGCCCAGAGAATCTCTAAAGTCCCGGGTCCTGAGCTAATGTAAACTTAGCCTTCAGCTATGCGGCCATCCTCTTTTCCTTTAGAGCCTTTCATCATATTTTCTTTCTTATCTCCCCTACGCCTCTCTCCACATCACAACGCTCAAAAAACATTATTTATTTCTGTTGCCGTTCCAGTGTCGCTGAAGTGCTGCACATTTGTTGGAGGGGGCCGTAGAAACGGATTAATTTTTCATGGCACACTTGTATCTAGTGGCTGTAAACAGCGTTAATGGGCCGTATCAACACGATCAAATTAATTATTTATGACGCCACTGACAACGCTTCTGTTTGAAGGAGAAATAAGGGAAATAATTGAAAAAATGCTAAGAAGCAGTTTTATTTTTAGCACTCCTGCAAAACTACTTCCACATGAATTTGAAACAGCATTTTAATGAGTGAGGAGATGAGATTACCTTTTCTTCATGAGGAGCACCACTCCTAAGAAGATGATGACAAAGAGGAGGATGCCAGCAGTGACCCCCGCAATCTTTACGGTGTGGTCGGTTTGCTTCTCGGGCTCCACTGCGTTGGGTTTGTGAGTGGCTGCTCCTGCAAAAAAATAATAAAAAAACATCCAAATGTACAAAGATCAAATAACAGAGAGCAAATCAGGAATCAAATGATGACTTTAAAATTTGTGTTTGAACGGTGTGTCTTTCTCCTGGAGATAAGGGGCAGCACATGCTTAAATCATTGCAAGCAAGCGTTTATTTTTTGTGTTCAAATAAGACCTTACCAACGGATGGCCATTAGGGTCAAAAATCCCTGGGAGAGCTATTTTCAAACAAGTACTTAGTGAGATTGTTGAACCTTCATTAAAATGACATCACATCAGATATCAGATAAATGTATAAAACACCAACGTTTATGAATGGTGAAAGATTTGTAACCGTTTGTTATAAATCAGTAAATGCTTTCTGTCCTCACGGGCTCCCGTAGAAGGAAACATGGTTCAAATAGGCGTCGCCTAACTTAGGGTGTTTCTCAGCGTCAAGGTGCCTGGCCTAGCAAGGCAATGTCTTGCAAGGCGGTCGTGTCACGTCACGTGACACGCGAGGTAAAGTTATATTTCAAATAAATGAGTTTCACTATAGATGTACAATGAGCCTTTTTAAACTGTCTATGTATATGGTTAAAATAAATATGTAAGCGAGTTACCACCTGCTAGCCACCGAAGCTGCAACTACGAAGCATCTAACCAACCATAGATAACTACTTTGGATCTAAAAAATATTTTAGATATCAGCCCAATGGCTACAATTATTGACTTACATTTAAACTGGAAATTTGCCCCCAAAGTAGCTGCTGGCTCCTGGTCCACCATCCTTTTGAAAATACCGTGCTGAAATTCTAGGACATTTTTAAACAGAAGGCAACAAGGCACCTCGCATGTATCCTTGCTCAGCTAGCTAAATGACTAACAAACAGAGGACAGGTGCCTCGGTGGAACATGAACATTGGAACTCGCCTTGGCGGTTCCTGATGACGTATCTCCTAGGCAACCGGGATGGGACCAAGACATCAAGGCGAGGCTCCTTGACTTTAAATTGACAGTGTGTATTTTTCCTGGTGATAGAGGGCAGTAGATACCTAAATCGCTGCAAGCAAGCGGTGTTTTGTGTTGGAGTAAGACCTTACCAATGGGTGCCCTTTAGGGTCAAAAGGCCCTGGGGAGTGCAAACTCTAGCAAAATAACGAGCACATCAGACTCCCTTTCATCACTGGCAACAGGTGAAGAGGTAAATGTGTAAAACAACAACATTTAAGAATAACGAATGTTTTGTAACCGTTTGTTACAAATCAGTAAATGCATTTTGTCCTCATGGGCTCCCGTAGAAGGAAACATGGCATCTAATATGGCGACGCCCAGAGACTTAGACCCTCTCCCATGTATTTTAGACCAGATTTTTATGGTTATACGTTACGAAGCCGTCAGTATTCTCAACAACTGGGCATCATTTCAATCATTTTAAACAATATTTTGATGGATATTTCCCGAAATTAATGATAAAAACGACTCATTTTCACGTTAAGCACGAACCACATAAAGACAGAGGAAACTGGAAAGAAAACGATTGTAAAAGTAAAAGTAAGTGACTTCCAGCTGTTCCAAAGACTCCACCTTTAGCTCGCCCTTAGTGGACATCAGCAATCTGCAGATGATGCTGCACAGCGAGAGATAAGTGCACACGGACTTTACTCCTGCTTAATCACATTTGTGACAAATGGCTGGTATGGGATGTAGAAAAATGCATGATGCAGGGCAGAAAAGATAATGCCCAAGAAGATAAAAATGCTCAAAATAACCAGAACATTAAATATCAGCCTTGGAGGAGATAGCCAACAACGAGAGGAGAGGCGAGACTGGATAATATTTTTAAAAAAATACAGCTTGTTTTAACAGAAATGTGATAAGAAGCACCCTGAAAGAGGCAATGCTGCTAAAATCACACCCGCCCACCTGAACAACACCATTACTTCTTGTCACCAGTTGTAAATTTAAAATAATGATTTGTTATGTCAAATGGTTTCCTTCTTCCGTCAGTGTTTGTCATTTTTCCTTCCCTATCAAAAGAGCAAATATCCATCCTCAGGCGGTTGTGACACATTGTTTTAGCCCTGGTGTGCCATTATCAGCAGCCTTTATTTAAAGAAGATAGAGGATGCTAGAGCTAAAGCGGTGGACTGCCAGACTGCAAGAAGATGTCATGTCTGGAGTGATGGAGGCGATTTAGTCTTAAAACATTGTTTCACACTAATTTAGCAGAAATGCTGTCAGCGCCAGACCTCCTTTTGAGCTGCAAGCACTGCAGGTTCAGCCATTTTTGTTCAAGCTACCGAGAACTTAAGAAAAAGTGCACAACAAAACATGTCTGCATTAATATTTATGTTAAAAGCTGCAGGAACAAATACCTAGAAATAATGATAAGTATTCATAAAGGTGGAGTAATCCCTGTTAAAATCTTCAACAATGACGTGTCTTTGATGTTGAAGGTAGATTACAGTTTTTGCATATCTTTGAGTTCATAAGAACTCGAACAGTTTTTATGCAAATATAAGGAAAGTAAACTAAGTGCACACATGCAATGTTAGTTTCTGTCTTCCCACTGAGGGAGCTGTGAGTTTGAACAGAAAGCATCACGGGGACGCTCCGAGGGCCTGACCTGTTAGCTGGTGGTCACCGGCCGCCGGGGCCATGCGGATGTACGGGGTTGTGAGCTGAGTCACGAGTATGGCGGCTGAGTAACATCAGTAGATCCAGGACGGCATGCCGGAAAAAAAGACAAAGAGAAACCACATTCAAGCTCAAAACAACCTTCATCATGCTTAACTGAGGCAAAAACAATAATAAAACAATCAAAAGATTGTTTTGCACAATTTGTCTTCTTCGTGAGTCAATTCTGAATCATTAGTGTTGTATAACTTCACCCAATTGACCCATGTAGATGGAGACATTTGGACCTGCACAGGAAATCTATAGTGGAGCTGCATGCAAAGTGCACAATATATATGAGACTGTCGGGGCGCGTGACAGAACCTCCCACAGCCCAGAACGGATTGTGACCACGACTCCCTCTGGCCTTATCAATCCTGCTCCCAGATCAATGCTGCTTAGACTTCATCACCCTTGATGTGAGGAGCAGGACATCCAGGCCACATAGCTAAGTATCAGCAGACCTCCGCAGGCACACAGTCAGAGAAAAACACATGTTCTGAGTCAATATATAGACCAAACAAATTCATGTTCCAACTTTATCACAACTGTTTGTCTTTAGAGATAAAAAAAATACCCAAATGCAACAATGAAACCCAGTGAGGTGAGAACATGTTAATTTTGTTAGTTTCCCAAATGCTCAAATTCAGGTCAGCCCTACCTTTAGTTGCAACGCGAACACAGTCGATTTTGGTTTCCTGTGAAAACAGATACAAGGTGGAGGGAGGAGAGGATCACAGGTTAATATAAACCACATCCATGTGCATGCACACACAAAGACACACGTATGACACCAGCAACACCTATCCAAGAACCTGCAGTTACAAGAAACATTGTGGCTGGTCTCCTGCTGTCCCCTATCATCTGTTGAGCTCGATGACTGTGACACAAAACGCAGCTAAGCGAGAGGGCCCACAGCACAGATTAGAGGTGCTGAGCTGCTGATTTGTCAACCAACAGCGATCTGTCGGCAGCTTGTGGCTCAAGGTGGTCATCCGCCGTGGAGAAACCAGAGGCTTGTGACAAGCAACAACGGCCAGCTGAGCAGGGCTCCCAAAAATGTCACATCAGGGAGACTTTCAGAATATGTAATGGAGTTTCATCTCTGACAACAGCCTTCGAAAACATTAAAATAAAGCCCGAAAAACACACACAGCACTGGATGTCGGCAGAGAGGTTTGCTGTCAGAAATAGTTGAATGAGAAGGGAAAAGGGCAGAGACAGAAACAGGGACGTGATGAGTAAGGCGGTACAAAAGACATGTCCTGGTGTTTGGAGTAGATAACATAAAGACGGGTGACTTTTGTATTATAAGTGATGATAAAAAAGGAAAAAGTCATTTTGAAATTAGAAATGTTTTATTCACATCTTTGCTAATAATTATTTTAGCCTGTGAGGCAAAACAAATGATATATTCTAATAAATAAACGTTATTTAAACATAAAATCTGATCACTATGAACACCTAAAATTAAAATTAAATCATGATGTTCATCTGGGAGAATTTGAAGATGTGAAAGTGGATTTCTGTCTAAATAGTTCCTATTTTACCCGTTGCTGTCAGCTTCCTAAACAACCTCAGTTTGGAGAAATATGGTTTGGGTTTTCCAACCCAGCTTTTCACTGGATGCGTAAACGTTACGTAACGTAATAGAGGCGTTCTCTTCGTGTGCTTCCGTCCCACCGAGAGCGTTTCAGAAGTGAAGCCACATTGAAAGCATTCTACGTAGCTCATCCTGGAGGTCACAAAACGACTGGAGAACAGAGAAATCCTGCGTGATTTCAGCAGTTCACCTAACAACCATACAGCCAGGAGTGTTTTCTGTTCCGTTTCCCTCGGCTACAAAGGTTTCAAAGGAAATGACATACTTTTTTTTACGTGTTAAGCAACTGAAATCTGCATGCGACTTTTACTTTGAAAGTCTCCAGATGTTTAACACTGCTTTCGTGGCCGACTTCCTGTCTGGCCTGACCTTAACAGCTGAGCGTGACACGTTCGGGAACCTAAGAAACAGAGTCGACGAACGCTTCTGGGACGTGTCCAAAACACGACACTTCACTAGTGGTGAAAACACACCCGTCCACCATAACAGCAGCCAACTGCTGCCTACTCGTAGTAGGCCTTTCCAACAGATGCGTACGCAGAGGGTCGTAGGCATGTGGTGGAAAGGCCCTCTAGGACTGTTGAGCAAAGTGGATTGTAATTTTATAAATGTTTTCACCGCAATGGTCTTTATTTACAAACATGAATATTAACTAGCAGCAGCAAAATGCAGTACATCCTTTTCAATTTCTCATATAGTTTTGCTAAAATTTCTGCAAAACAATAGTTGTACAACACAGTGAATACATGAATGTTTAGTTATTTAGATTTTTTTTATCTCTTTGACAAAAAAACATTATATCCAGATGGACCCACATTCAAAGTGGTTCTATGTCAAAATTAAACAAAATCATTTCATGTCGATTCATGGTGGAAAGTTTTTGCAACATTTTTTTACCAAAACCCTTGCAAAAGATTTTTCCACCGTCAGCTGATTAGTCAAAATCAAAATGGTAAAAAATACTCCTTTAAACTGCAGACCGGCCTGACCGAAGCGTCTTCTGGTCGTCCAACGCTCCACTTTAGAGACCAAACTTACTAAATTGATTCAGCGTCGCCTCGTGTGTTTTTTGAGTTGCCTGTTTAACAATGTGCTGGAGTCAATCAAGGAGGCGGTTTACGATGATTCTCATTCAGGACACAATCGGTGGGCCACCTGAAGTTGTAATTGAGCAAACTGTGGAGGCATGGGCCCTGCCAAGTCCTACTTGATGACAGGAAGCTGCGACCTGTACGATTAGTACGCCCCGCCGTTGTCTCATGACTAACACACTTAATTGCACGCTGGATGACTGCATCTCTTAAATGCATCAGATCAACGGGCTGTGTGGTGGTGGACGTTAAGCTCCATAGGAAAAGGCAGGAAAATAGCCACAGCACCGGAGGACGACGGCATGTCCTGAAGCACAGCTCTGCATACAAAGGCTGACCCTGCTGCGACCTAAAAAAATGTTGGTGTTCTTCCGCAGTGCAACATCTTGGTACTCTTGAATCTTGCTTTCATTAAATCCACTCGAAACTCTACTGTCAACATAAAGACTAAAGTTTGTTGGATTTTTGAAAATGTAGTGGAGTTTGTAACAATAAATGTTTGTTCCAAACAATTGTACCCCCCCCAAAAAATAAATCCTCTAATAGACTTGGGACTCATTTTAAAATCACAAGTTTGTGACTCTTAGAGATTGAAGATGATCAAATCCATTACAACAATGAGTTGTTCTCATAACTATGCTAAGTTGATTGTGTGGTGACTGAGTTGAGACCGAACTTAGAGACCGGCTGGACTGACTGTGGTCAAACAGCAGAAATCGACAGGACCTGACTGCAGATGCTGATAAATATGTACAGTTATTTAAACTTGTCTTTCTGTATAATTTCTTACATTATTCCCTACTTTTCGCTACATTTTAGTGACCCCCTCTGTGACGGTGAGTGTTTGAGTGTGGGGGAGAGCCTCATGGAAGCTTGGTGCCCTACGCACAGTGCATGATGCACATGGGCGCTGCCCAGATCTCGTAATGGAAACACGGCTGTTGTCGATTCCTGACCCTAACCTGGATCAAGTGGGTCTTGCAATGCTGGACGTTTTTCTGGGTTCATTTAAAAATGTATTTCTTTAGAGCATGGCATGAAAATAAAGTTAAGGTCCCATTAGTTGTCACACTGGTGAGTGAACTTTGCTCTCCGCATTTGACCCATTCCCTAGGGGAGCTGTGAGCTGCAGATATGGCCGGGCTCAGGAACCATTTGGTGGTTTGACCCCTCAATCGAACCCCTTCATGCTGAGTATCAAACAAGGAGGCATTGGGTCCCATTTTTCAAGTCTTTGGTATGACCCAATCATGGATTTCAACCCACTAACTCCTAGTATCAAGTTGGATACTCAAACCACCAGGCCACTGAGCTGGTATGATATGCTGCTTTTTTATATCTTTTAGCCTACTTTAGGTTGTCAGAAAGGTTCTGTTGAGGTGATTTCCCAACTCTGCAGGTCTGGTAGTAATCTGACCAGGTGGGTTTGGATCAATGTTTCCTTTGATTTTCAAAACAAAACAGCATTTTGCATTTACTTGGGTCATCATTGTCTTATCTTGGAATTTGTTAGCTGATCTGAAACATTCAACAAAGGCAAAAATAGAAAAAACAGAAGGGGCTAAATATTTTTGCAGGGCTGTATCTAGTGAAGTTAAAAATAGAAATCCAACCAGAACACCTGAATTTAAAAAAATGGGTTAGGGTTAGAAATTGGATAAGACATGCACCCCATTGGCTGTGCTGACAGCCTGGTAATAGATGCTGTAGCTCTTCTGTGGCAGAAGTGGGGCGTTCCAGTAGCCGTTGTAGGTTTTGTTGTCACCCACGGTGAACGGCTGTGGTGAGTGGATGCCGGCGGCGGGGAACTGAGCCGTGAAGTAGTACTGTGAGTTTAGAACTGTGGCGTTCTGGAAGTGGATGGGGACTGGGTAGCAGCGTAAGATCTCTGCCGCGCCCCGCGCTCTGCGTGGACGCTCTTCCTCCACCACCACCTGGTACGCGCTGCAAACAGAACAAAAACACAACTCAGCAACTCTACTGGGGTCTTGTTGCATGCCACACACACGACTGTTGATGTTCTGTTTCACCGGGTAGCTGCAAAAGTCCAAACCTTGGATTATTTCACATTACATTTTGCAAACAAGAGAAGAAGACTGCATATATATGAACAACAGCACAAGGAAAATGACCTAATATTATTTGTCTTTTCATCGTTTACAGTCTGAAAAGTTAACGGCCCATTCGCTTTCCTCTCCACTAGAGCCGTGTGTCAAAACTGCAGCCCTGCGTACCTCTGACAGAGACGGTATTGTCTTCGCCGCTCCTGTTAGTATGCAGCACACATCCACCTGGTAAATCTATTGAGTTGCTGAGACAAAGAGTCTGTTTACAGTGAATAAGTAGCCATGATTAAAAAGAGACAAGGAATTATCATTATGACTTAATATAGAGGTAATTTTTTCATTGGTTCTTATGCTTATGAATCAGTCCGAACCTAGATGTGGTTGAAATGTTTTCTTTCAGAGGAGATGGTGAGGAGATGTTGACCTTAGAAACATGAAGTTCCCCTGACTATTTGTACTGTGCACCCTCAAATGTAAGTATCATCATCCAGGCAATACAAAACATAAAAAGTTACTCGTTCGCATTGTCAACAATAATATGTAGAAAAGAAAAAGTCAAAGGAAGGCAATCGTTCCAAAAAGAAGAGCCAGAAAAATCTCCAAATCACAAAATAAACCATTTTTGTATAAAACAACAACTTGTCTCAAAACTCAAACAGTAGAAGGAAATTCAAAAGGACCCTTAAGTATTCGCCTGAGTCTGGGGAATAAAACCAGATTTCTGCAATTATAGCTCAGAGTGGATGTGAGGAAAACTGAGTTTTAAAGTAAAACCTTGAGTTCAGCGATGCCTCAGAGGACTCTAAATCTCAGAAAATCCATCCAAGTGTTTACATCCAGATGTGGACGAAAGTGTTGGTACCCTTCGGCCAATTTAAAACCCACAATGGTCACATAAGTAACTTGAATCTGACAAAGGTAATAATAGATACACATTCTTTGAAATATCACGAATAAAAGTCAGACGTTGACCTTCAGCCTTGCTTCAATGGAATTAGTGGAACAGGCCTGGGCAAAAATGATGCTCCCATAACTTAATATTTTGTTGCACAACCTTTGGAGGCAATCACTGTAATTACAGGATTCCTGTAACTGTCAATGAGTCTTCTGCACCCAGCAGGTATTTTGGCCCACTGAGCAAACTGCCCCAGTTGTCTCAGGTTTGAAGGGTGCTTTTACCAGACGGCATGTTTCAGCTCCTTCCAAAGATGCTCAACTGGATTCAGGTCAGAGCTCATAGAAGGCCACTTCAGAATAGTCCAACGTTTTCCTCTTAGCCATTATTTGGCGTGTTTAGCAGAGCAGCACTGACTATGCGAAGGCGTAGGGCCAAAAATGGTCACTGGGGGGCCCCCTAAGTTCCTGCAGTCCTCCTCTGAGTATCAGAATAGCTTACCTACAGTGTTCATTTCACTGACTAAATATACTTGTTTCCTTTTTCATGACGAATGAATTATCGCGGACTAAAACAAAACAAAAACGAAAAAATACACGCCAAAAAAAAAACTAAATTATGACGAATACTGACCGATATTTTCGAAGAGGAAATTGGTGACGCTGGATTCGCTGGAGCCGAACCGAGCGGTCATTTTAATGTTCTCGCGGTGCCGCTACAGCAGAGCGTTCGGTGCTTTAGTGAGGAAAAACAATCAGGTTGCCCACCTTGGTACATTATTACAGCAGAAAACTAATAAATACACCTGACAAAGTTCTCACGTTTAGTTTCTCATCACACATTTAATTGTTTTGATAGCATGATGTCATTTCCTGTCATGTTTACACATATTACTGCACATTATACAGACTTGATTACTATATTAATACAGAGGCACAATTTCAAACAATAATATAACTCAAAAAGACAGATTTTGCTGAATTTGATAAAAGAACAGGTGATTAAAATTTGGATTACTGTCTCGATGCAGGAATTGTTTAATCAGTCATAACAGTTGCCTGTATGCACTTGTAATTGTGGTACACACTCTCCGAGTACTTTCTAGTTTTTATTAATTTTGCTTGAGCGACTTAAATAAATATTCAGTTTTGCAGAGAGAAACTAAAAAATGTCCAATTTATACTAAACATAAAATAACATTTTATCATATACTCATTAAATATTGGATGCTGCTGATTTCCAATACTGTAAATCATTTAAAACCAGAACAAGAACCCATCAGCCTTCAATGGACAAAGCACACAATGATCACATCTGGTCCATCAGAAGCATTCAGCAAATATTCAATCCAGTTTTAAATTAATATTTTAATTCACCCGTGCATTTTTTTCCTCCACAAAGAACCTACTTCGTTCATTGCTACGTTCCTACTTGCTCAATTTATTTACTCATTCAGCTGCACATTGCCACGTGCAAACGCTGGGCAGGATGAAGGGAGTTTGGGTGACCCTGAATGTTTTCCTCCAGATTTTTAGATGCAGATGAAAACAGGAATCTACACTCCTGAGCCCCGCAAAAGGCCCTGCAGATGATCAATTGTTCCCTGCGGTTGGTAGTGGATGATTAACTCACCCCTTGTGTGTGCAGCATATGCTCTTTAACCCTACAGTTTATCATAAGGTGCTTGCAGTGTCATTAGATACGCCCCCCCTCGCTCTCAGTGGGTGTGTCCCCAATTCCTTGGAGCGCTCCTATTTAGCACCATGTGTTGAGGTAATGAAATATTTAATCCTGCTCAGAGTCTGCAGGCAAAAATCAGCCTTTAATTACTGTCCCCCTATTGAGAGCAGAGGTCAAAGGTCAGAAAGAGATGGTACACAGGGGTGGGGGGCGGCACTTAGCTGGCTGGAGAGCAGCAGAGAAATAACTGACAAGAATATGCACAACATAATACACAATAGCAGGTCTTTAAAGCACTCTATATGTTCTATTTAAGTTCTACTGTTCCATTATTGCCATAGAAATAATGTTTGTTCTGCAGCTTTTACAGCAAAATAATCCAAATCAATATGTGGATAGTGAAATAAATATAAAAACTCTCGAGCTCACCCGAGGTGTGTTCCTTAAGATAAGATGATGTGGATTTGCTGGGACTTAATGACAGGGTAATAATAGAGTTGGTTTCTTTTCCTCAGGCGAAATACCAAGAGCCACGGGCTACGAGGCTCCAGGGTAAGAGCTCTTGTAAAGGCAAAATCCATACCAATTTTTATCTCCTTTGCAAAATTTGCAGCACCAAGAAACAGAACTCCAGCTCACAACAAACACAGTTTAATAAAACTGTTTGTGTTTGTAATGGATGGAGGTTCTTCAGCACACTTGCAGTGGTCTCTAGAATGAATGAAAGCCTTGTGAGTCGATCTCTGTTGGGAACAAAAGCTGTAGTGCTCCGGTTTCAGGAGATGGAAGTTAGCCACAACTGCAGGGAGCAGAAGTCTTTAATTCAGACATCTCACCTCTGATTGGTTAACAGCAACGCGACTCTACTACTGACTGCTCTGCAACATTGATGTTTTATCTCCACAAACAACACAAGCCTGAAAGAGTTGCTAATCCTAACGGTAGCTTCTGCTAGCTAAGACGTTCTCTGCTTTTTCCTAGATGCTAAATCAACAACAGCTTTCCCCGTCGTGAGTCAAGATGGGTGAATCCATTGATCTTAATATTCAGTGTGAGGTAGATCCGTCAGACTTTTCTTACCTGAGCATTTCCGCGTCTATTTTCCCTCTGCAGGTATAACAGGAAATAGGTAGCCTAGAATCTAGACCAAGCCCCCACGGTTCTGAAAGTGAGGCCAATGCGGAAATGAAATAAATTGCAGTTCCACCCTCATCCGCTGGGGGCTGGTGTCAGAAGTGAGCCTCATTGACTCCCATGTTAAAAATACCAATTTCACAGCAGAAATAAACATGTTTACAGCCTGGTACCAAAACATGTTTTAGGTTTAATAAATCTAGTTAATACATGACAACTCTGAGGGGGGTGAATTTTTTTTGTCACTCTTCTGTTTAAGTGTATTAAAAGCCTAAAATTCTGGATAATTAATGAGCATCAGACCCACGTGACCGCAGAGCTAGCTCCGGGGAAAGGCCTCAGTCTGAGCCTCGGCCTTGCCTGAAAACTGTTTAGCAATTTTCAGTCTCTCAACTTAGACCATTAGTTGTGGTGTTTGTGCATTCTTTTTGGATATTATTAGTGCAATTGTTGGACAAAATGACTTGCTGTGGTATTAATTGCACTAATAGAGCGTCCAAGGAGTCTCCACTCCATTTTTTTCGGTAAGTAAAATTATATTTATGTATTTTAGGTCACTGCCGCTTTTGCACTAGCTGAGCTTAGATTTTAACATGTACTGTTTAACCATGAGCTTTAAATGTAATAGGTTAAAACCCAGTGTATTTAACGCTGCATTTTTGAAAATGGGTTGAAATACAACATGTCAGTGGAACTGGGTTCCAACTATTGATATGGACTCCCTCCCCGCAGCTCGGTGCATCTCTGATCGCCGTGGCGCTTGTCTGCTGCGCGGGCTGCCGGCTTATGGAGCTCTGGGATGGAAACCAATGTTTTCCACCCGGTTCTCCCCAGCGGCATCTCTGCACATCTCTGATCGCAGCAGCGCTTGTCTGCTGCGTGGCTGCCGGCTTGTGGAGGTCTCTGAGACCTCTGTGGTCCACCCGGTTTTACCCAGCGGTCAGGCCGGCGTATCTCTGACTCAGAAGCTCTGGTGTTGTGCACAGTTAACTCCAGTTGTAGCTAGGTTGCTACCTCCGTTAGCTTAGCTCCCACCTCCGCGTTAGCTTTGGGTTAGCTTCAGGTTAGCTTGTAGCTATTAGTTTCAGTTCGATTGGGTGTCGTCAGTTGATCCCAGCCTTACAGCCCCACCCTCAGCTCCACCTCTCTTCCCTTTTGTGGAATTGTCT